GCCCAGGGCCTGGGTTCACTCAACCAACTGGCGCTGCGCAACTGCCTGAATTTCCCCGAGTTGCGTGGTGGCCAGAATAGGGCCCTGAGGGCCTCATTGAGCCTGCCTTCACTTAGGGCGCCCGACGGGCTGCAAAAATGGGCCTTATGGGCAGTGGCCTCGCATTCCCTCCTCATATAGGAGGTGGCCTCGCATTCCCTCCTCATATAGGAGGTGGCCTCGCATTCCCTCCTCCTTAGCTTCAACAGTCCTCTGAGAAGCTCAGTCTTCAACCTTGGGGAGCTTTCCCTTCTGCAGAGATCTCTCGTATTGGGCTACAACTTGAGGAGCGGTCTGCATGAGTTCTTCCCTGGTGAACCAGCGGTCCTCCTTCAGATCAGTATGATGCCGGAACCGAACGTGGTACTGCAGCTTCGGCTTCGGAGGACGTCCCCTGCCTGCTGGTCTTGATACCGGCAGCTCTCTGTGATCCACAATGCCATCGATGTCCACTTCTCTGTCCATGGTTGGGGGCAGCATTGAGCGATGAGTTGGAAATTGATCAGTCTCTTTGAAAGGTGCCAGCTTGGAGGCGTGAAAGACAGGGTAGGTACGGAGATAACCAGGGATCCGGATAACATAAGATGGCCCATCCGGATCTATCCCGACGATGTCCAAGACTTCCCAGGGTCCAAAGTACTGGGGCATGAGTTTGTGGGAGATCCCGTATACCTGTCCCAGTTCTGAAGACTTAACCCAGACCCTATCCCCAACCTGAAATGCAGAAGGCCGGCGGTGTCTATTCTCAGACTCTATCATTGCAGCCTGCGCCTTCTGCATCTGTTCTACAGCCTGCTGCATCTTCTGTTCATAGCGATATGCAAATTCTAAGGTACCTGGTGCAGCAGTGGGTTGATTCTCAGGGAGAAGGAAGTCTAGGGGCAGCCTCGGCTTAAATGTTAGCAGTAAGCTATTTGGGCTCACCCCGGTGGCGCTGTGTACAGCGTTGTTATACAAGCTGGGGATGAGAGCAAGCTTCTCATCCCATTCCACCTGGTTGGGCTTGATGTAGTGCCTCAACAGGTGTTGTACAGCGCGGTTCAGTTGCTCGGCCTGTCCATTGGCCTCTGGGTGATTCCCAGACGTCATCTGCAACTGAGTGCCTTGCTCTGCAACGGCGGCCTTCCACAACTCGCTGGTAAACCGGACATCCCTGTCACTGACAATAGACTTCGGTAAACCAAAGTCTCTAACCCAGTTCTCTTTGAACATTTGTATCACGTACTCCGTCTTTGCTGTTTCCGGCATTGCTACTAACCTAGCATACTTAGTAAATCTATCCACAATGACGTACATATAACGCATTCGACTCTTGCTGGTGATCAGAGTATCCATGAAGTCCATGGACAGACTCTCACCAGGCCTTTCCGGAATCGGAGGCGGCTTCAAGAGCCCAAGAGGAGCCTGAGTACGTGGCTTGTCCCTTTGACAGACTTGACAAGTCTCCACGTACAGCTTCACATCTTTCATCATGGTGGGCCACCAGAACTTCTACAGCAGATTGGCTGCAGTCTTCTTAAAGCCAAACTGTCCGGTGGCATCGTGACATTCTCCTAAAAACAAACTACGCAAAGACTCGCTATTCAGAACACACAACCGTTTATTCCCTGCCTTCTCAAGGAACAGCAGGCCGTTGACCAACTCAGACTCGACGGAAGTTACTTTGTCCTTCGCCTCGAGTCTGCGTATGATCTCGGCCATGAACGGGTCCTCGCGATAGGCTTCCACCAAAGACTGAGTAACAGTGTCCTCAAGCCCAAATTCAGTGATCAGCGCACCCGAGAAGTCGGGTCTGCGCGACAGCGCATCAGCAACCTTGTTGTACTCGCCCTTGATGTACTGGGGCTCGAAGTCATACTGCTCAATGACTTCGATCCAACGCTTGAGAGCATCAGAGAGTACCGGTTGTGTTCTCATCCATCTCATGGTTTGATGATCAGTCCTGAGGATGAAGAACCTCCCAAGGAGATAGTGTCTCCAATGGGTCAGAGCCTTGTACACCGCATAGAGTTCCTTCTCATAGGTGGACTTTGCCAACTTCTGAGAGGGCATCTTTTTGGACATGTACTCTACTGGGTTCAACTTTTCCCCCTCCTGTTGTGCAAGTACGGCGCCTATGCCATATTGGCTAGCATCCGTAGTTACTATAAAAGGCTTATCAGGATCAGGAAGTTTCAAGACTTCGTAATGTGTCAACGCATGCTTCAGGTGTCTGAAAGCAGCCTCGCATCTCTCAGTCCACTCCCATGGGGTGTCAAGGCGGGTCAGATCAGTCAAAGGGGCGGCAACTATACTATAGTTCTCCACGAAGTTGCGATAGTAGCCTGTCATCCCTAAGAATGATCTCATCTCAGTCACAGACCGAGGACGCGGCCAGTCGCGAATGCTGGCCACCTTCACGTCATCGGGCTTCAACCCTTCCGCGGAAATCTCATGACCCAAGTACAAGACACAAGTGCGGCCAAACTCGCACTTCTCACCATTGATCTTGAACTTGTGCTGTCGCAGGAGACTAAGGACTTTGTCCAAGTGTGCAACATGCTCCTCGACAGTCTTACTAAAAATAAGTATGTCATCGAGGCACGCGGTGTCATAATAGGCCCCGGCCTTGCGGCCGCCAATGACTACCTCGCTGACGAACATCTCACCCTTCGGGGCTTTGACTAGTGCCGTCCAAGAAGCTAGCGGGTCTGATCTAGACCACTCCACCTCTAGCTCCTCTAAGGACTCAAACACATTCATCGAACAGAGGCTCGATGGGTCTGAACGTGTTTGCGGGACGACATTGGAGTCAGTAGCTTGGGCCATCTCTCGAGATGGTGAGGGTGTCTCCACCACCTCGACCCTAGCAGGAACAGCTACGATTCCTACTGGCCCGACGTGTTTCCCGGAGCACTGCCAGAAGAACTAGCAACATTGCTACTGACGGGATGAGAGGATCCTAACACCTACCCCATCGTAGGCGGGATCTTTTCGGTTACCTTTTTGTTGCGGCACTTGTACTGACTATGGCCATATTGACCACATCTAATACAAGCCTGCCGTGAATACCGATCTCTCCACACGTCCTCTGTGAGACCCGCTTTCTCCCATGGAGGAGCATTGGGGTCAACTTGACTCCTAGACTGAGAACCTCCACGACATCTACCGGTCGCCTTACCTTTTTGAGCTACCACAGTGACTACTCCACCCTCTGAAGCTTCTATGCTGCCCGCCTCTGAACCTACTCCCTCCTGGAAGTGTTCGTCTACTTCGATAATGGAACCATCATTATCGACAAACATTAAGCGACCCTTCGCCTTCCAGTTAGGAGGCAGTGTCTTCTTCCTCCCATCCGTAGTGGGTGCCTGTCCATGCCCTATCTTAGCCTCACGGTCTAGGGCCATCTTGCTGAACGAAGGAAAGTTGTGCATATTGATGTTGGCCTCCCTTGCCAACTCGTTCCTGAGAGGCAATGAAAAGCATCTCAGGTACGAGGTAAGTAAGACCTCGGGGTCATTGCGCACCCCTGGGACAGATCAGACGCTCAACAGCGTCGGTGGCTTCCCTTACTGACTTGAACTGCCGTGTGTGCAGTGTCAGGACCCGCATCAGTGGCCCTTTGGGCCTCCTGAGGATTGTGCCACCTGTCCTCCACCATCTTCAGGAAGTCCTCCATTTCTGGGTGACCGCCCAAGCGCGGAAGTCATGACCATACCCCTGGAGTTGTACTAAGCCGCTCAACCATCTTGCTGCACTACCCTCTAGGTAGGAAGCAGCCACAAGCACTTCTTCGTGCGGCAAGGTAAGTTTACACCTGACGTAGACCGGCACTGCCCTCAACCACGTGTCGAGGTCTTCGCCCCTCTTATCCCCTGTGAAAGGTTTGGGAGCGGCGATGGCCGTCTTTGGAACCCACTGTGTTTGTCCCGGTCCCTGCATTACTACGGGCTGTGGACCCTGTGACAGAGGTTGATGTGCCAGCTGCTGGGGCTGTGTGCCCTGCGGCTGCACAGGCTGCGAGACAGCACGCTGCGTGGTGACTGCAACCTGCAACGGAGTTTGGGTGAACACTGTCTGAACAGGAACCTGTAAACTAGTCCCTGCTGATACCCCTCTTGACAGCAGCATGCCCAGGGAAACGATCGCTACCGATGACGGGGCTACATATGGGGATACCCCAATCACCGGTGGGACATAAGGAGGAGGATGTACAACGGGCCAGGCACCAGGCCCCGATATTGGCGACATGGCCTGCGTTCGCCCAACCAACAGGGCCAGACTTCGTTAGATGTCCTGAAGGATGGTTGTCTGATGGTCCTGCATCTCTACTACATTCAGCAGGACGGACCGTACAAGTCTCACATCTTAAGGCACATTCGTCAGATCCATCTCCTCTAACTCACTAACGTCCGCTTGTCTACGTTGCATCCTGGCTCTTCTTCTAATCATTCTATCTTTCTCCGCTTTTATTTCTCCTAATGCCTTCTGTAGCTGTGCCTCCTGCAGTGCTGCTTGTTGTATGGCGATCTCATCGGGAGTTAACACCAGTGGCTGGCTCGCCATGACGCCAGTGGACTGTACCTGGGTCTGCGCGACCGTTGACCCGTCAGACCCTGAACTATCGGCTTGAGAAGTCTGCATTGCTGAGGTAGACATGGCTTCCGAAGCTGCGGCCTCAATCACAAGTGCCCTGCTAGCCTCCGCTGCTCGAGCCCTCCTCTGCTGTTGCTGCCTCTCCCTAAGCTGGCGGAACAGATGTCTGTCGCCCTCTAGACCTAATGCCAAATGGGCTACTGGGCGCCTCACTGATCGCAAGATTCGGTCGTCCGGTGGCTGTTCCTCCCTATCACTCATAAGCTACAGCCCTGTACACAATCTGCACTAATGCACTCTAGGTGCCTACCGCAGTGTAGTGCACAGACCAACTGGTGGCTGTTTCGGAGACTGTACATTCGGGTCAACAAGTCAGATTCCTACAAACAAAACTATTTTGTTTGACTAGTCCGCAAACAGAAGCATCATGAACAAGAAGCAGTCCTAACTAGTGTTGTCTGTCAGATGTCAATGGCTGTACATCTGACTAATCAAAACATAAAAATAGAATTGTTTGTGTGGATAGAACAACATGGAATTTTCTCGAACTTATCACTTGGAATTTACCCCTCCCTTAGTTCCCCTGAGTATCACTTGACGTCAGCGTCCCTAAGCAATCCGGAGGCGTTGCGTGTCTAAAGGTGTGTGTTCGGCCCACCCCTGTGCCCCGAGTAATCTGCTGAACTGGCCAGCCCTGCACTGGATTATCCTCACGTGCAGCGAGCCTTACAACCATTGGCTGATCCAGAGGCAATTTGGCGTCCGCCCCCAAGTGACTCCAGGAATTCTTTTACATCGCAGCCGGACGACGATCACAAGCAATGGTTCCCCTTCCGGTGTTTATTTAAAGACGCCCGGTCTCGTCTCCCGTAAGGGCTGGCTTGCCCAACAATACCCATTTAACAGCGCAGCAGCCGAACAAAGGACAAGCAGCAAGGCATGCGTGCTCTACTCCCTGTGGGTTGGCATGGATCTTCTCCCAGATGCTCCACGTGAACATTGCCGATTCTCAAGGTTGAGCGCACTCGACACCTCACAATGAGAGGACTCTCAAGAAGGAACACACAACCTCACGGTAAGAAGTGTCGGAGAAGGTAGATAAGGTTAAGAGCAACATACCTCAAATAGCTGCCCCCAACCACAGAGATAATCTCACCAGTTGACCAAATGGCGATTGTGATGACCAGTCACTGCATCGGCACAACCAGCATTCTCTCGCCGTTCCACCTCAGCATCAATCGCACATTAGATAGTTCTCATCACACTGTCCAGACCACATTACACTTTCGTAGCCTTCCTGGCGATCCCCTCACCTCCTGGGTCGCCACTCACTCGCCTCCACCCTCCTCACTACACACCACTTACGACCAAACTCGCCAAGCAAACCGCATGTATGTACCATACCAGGCAGAAGACAAGCGCCAGATGAGCGCAAACGTACCACAGCTCCGATACCAAATTGCAAGGAAGATGAGCAATATCGAACTTCAGGAATCAAACAGCATCATACATATGAGTCCACATGGTCGTGACCTCGAACCAGCAGCAAAATCGCATCACGAGATTCACCAAATAAGAACACACCAAGAGTTCATAATTGGCGATGCTGAAATAGTCCCATCATCATCAACGAAGAACCAGAGTTGATATCCTATCTGGCGCTCGGCGCCCATACTACATGTAGCAGATCCTATCTAGCCTACACTACGATACCGAAAGATGACGTCAACAACATTCCCGAAGTACGAGCATATGGCGACCAATGTCGCACGCTTCCA